TATTTTAATTCTATAATATTGTAGAATTAAAATAAAAAAAAGTTTATTGAATTTGGATCAGTAGTTGTTGAGAAATCGTCGTAAAAATTTAAAAAAAAACGAACTTAAAATATTGGAAAAACAAAATTGGGTAAAAATTTTTCTATAAACTTTAAATGACAATTTCTTAACAACCAACCATCCAAATTTAATGAATTTTTTTTTATTTTAATTTTGTGGGTCCATAGAATTAAAATAAAAAAAATTTATCAAATTTGAATAGCTGATTGTCAAGAAATATTCATTAAAATTTAGAAAAAAATTGGCTGCTGCTTCTTTTTTAAAGACATCAAAACTTTGGATGAAGATTACTTGGCACTTACCAAGTCAAATTTGAACAAAAGTTTTTATATTAATTCTATGAGCATGTAGAATTAGAATTAAAAAATTCAATTGAATTTGACCAGGTAAGTGCCGAGTAATCATTGTTCAAAGTTTTGATGTCTTTAAAAAAGAAGCTGTAGCTAATTTTTTTTAAACGTTTAATGAAATTTCTTGACTACCAACTATCCAAATTCGATCTACTTTTTTTGATTCTATGAACCCACAGAATTATAATAAAACAAATCTCATCAAGTTTGGATAGTTGGTTGTTGAAAAATCGTCGTTTGAAGTTCAAAGAAAGAAAATTTTACACAATTTTAGTTTTATTTCAATATTTTAAGTTTTTTTTTACCTTTCGTGATGAGTTCTTAACAACTACTGATCCAAATTTTAATTCTACAATATTATAGAATTAAAATAAAATAGGTTTACCGAATTTAATCAGATAGTTGTTGATAAATCATCGCTAGAAGTTTTAAAAAACTTTCGATTTTAATAGGATTAATTTTGTTATATACTAATAACGTTTAACATAGCAATTTACATGTATTGTATAATTTTATTGTTACTTTGCATTCACTATTTTACAATTTAAATAATGATTTTTTTTAATTTCAGTTGTCTGAAGTCTTGGATACGAATTCTGGTCGCAATCTATTATAGACCTTTACTGCAAGGTTAACATTGAATGGAGTTTATAATGACTTTATAGCTGTAATATCAGTAGCTTGTGTTAAATATCCATTCAAAACTTCCGATGCAATATAATATTAAACCTTGTAAGTGCTGTCAAACTTTTTTCATATCTATTTTATTAGATAGCTCCGAATTTGATAAATGCCATAAGAGAAAACATTCATTAATACTTGTAAATTATATAAAAATATATTGTAAGATTCATTTAATATAACTTAGATAATGCTTGTGCTCTTACAATCATAAGCACATACTTATAAAATCTCTTTATTTCAGTTTGTTCATCCCTAAACTATTGTATTAGAATAACTAATTCAATGTACTATTTGAAACATTTGTACACAAACTATATCTGGTTTTATTTGTTTTACACATTTTACATTTGGGGATTACTTGAGTATCATTCTTCTTGTTTCTTTGTTTGATATTTGCTTTTCTTCATTTCACAGATTCAGGTTGAACTTGAATCATTGCACCACTTTTAATACATGCTGAGGAATCCAAATTATGATTATAGAGAAAGGAAGTTACTTGCCCAACTGATAGTGATTTGGCAGTATTGTATCGTTCGGCAAACTTATCAAATACCATTTGAAGTTGTGAGCCACAGTTTCTATAATCATCTTCAATCTCTTTTAAAAATTTATTGAAAGATGAATCATCAAAATCTGTCGCTTAATCTTCCATTTCACTAAAATAATCAATAATAATAATGCAAAGTTTTAATATCTTTTGTCTTTAATACATACAATAAATACCAATATATAGTAAATATACCTAAAATATTTACAACAGGGTATATATATATGTAGCAAAAATATAAATTATAAATGTATAACATACCTGGATTCATTATTTGTATTAATCTCGTTATTTGCTATTGTTATAGCACTTGAATCATCATTTTTATTGACATTTAAAGTATTATGCTGATTGATTAAAGCCGGTTTAGTGCGTAATGATGCATAAAACAAATGGTCTTTCATATTAAGTTCTTTAAAAAAAAACAACTATAATGTTATATAATACATATAATAACTTTTATTATACCAATATATACTAACCACTTGCAATATATAAAAAGGTCATATGATCATTGGGTATTAATGACAGTAAAAAGTTGATAATTCTAATATGATATTTCATAGCTACAGCACCTTGGTGCTTACACAGTGCACCTGTCAATCCAATAAAACAATCGCATGTTCCAATAATACTATTCACATAATAGACAACTCCTGATCCTATTTTTGTACTTGGTACTAGGTATTCATCTGTATTTGGTAGCTGACAAATTGAATTTTTATCAACAGTTTCTCAACCAAGACACAAGAACCTTTTTGCAATTTCCATATGGCCAGAATGTTAATGTGCAAATCCATATAAACGACGTTCATAAATCGTTCCATGTTTTTAGTAATAAAAAAAAAAACTTGAACAGAATTAAATGCCTTGGTTCTCACATAGATAATGTCTTTAAATAAACCAAAGCCACATTCAATATAGTTGTTCGTATGATTACCATGTAAGAGTAAATTTAATCAAAAACAATGTGCCCAGTACTGTCGTCGATTCCAAAGACGTTCAAAATATTTTGCAAGCAATGGATATTGTTGATAGTAATCATTTTTTAATTTATGGTAATAATTGTTCATTTCAATTTCCATATATATATATATAATTTTTTTTATTATATTCATTATAATTATATGATCTTCTTTGTAAATACTATGCTTAGTATTATAAAGCCAACACCAAACCGCTTGCAAGAAGTGAAACATACATAAAAGTCGGTTAGACTGTGACTAACAATGATTTAATGTATTTCGCTCTGCAGCAGAATCATCGGTTAAAAAATTTTAAGACCCAACGTCACATCCATGCCCAAAAAATGCATATTCAGGAAGAATTAATTTCAATAAATTAATTGCCTTTTCAATTGTAATTTCTAGTTTATCAAACATAATGAATAGTCCCAATAACAATGTACCTGATATACAACTTGTGTATAACAATGTTATTTTGTATTTAAAGGTTCAAATGATGTCGAGGCATCTACATAACAAATTTCTTCCACTTCACAGATTTTCTCATGTACTCGACACATTAATCCTGTAACAATGCACAATATAAATGCTTTTCCCATTCGAGAATCATATTCTTGAAGAATCACTTTACCCAAACTAGATGCATTATAATTCAAAACTTCTTCACTTAGATGCTGAAACATTGATACTCCATTTTGTTCACCAAGCTGAGAATTACGGTAATTTTCAAAAAGATGTACAACATAGGTAAAATCTGGATTAATTGCACGATCTGCAAGTGTTTCAACAAGATTCTCCTTTGATAAAGCTGAAAGATGTAATTCATCTTCATGAGTATATAAAGCAGATGCAGGTGAGTAACTATTGCGAAACATTTGTATAAATTTATTGCGAATTTCCTCATTAACATGCCTAAAACTAAGTAATTCAGCTGATTTAATAACATGATTATGCTTGAAAGAAATATTAACTTCCAAAAGATGGCTGGTAGTTAAATGCCAACATTCTAACTATAAATGCAAGGTTGCTAAGCAACCTGTATTTTTATTGTGGAATGACTCTGGACACTTTCTTTTAGGATTACCTTGTTTCTTTCGAACTATTTGACTATGAATAAGTGTTGTGATTCTCGAAGAATTACACATGTGCCTTTAACTCCATGCCCTTTTGTTTGTGGCATCGTTGTTTTTAATTATTCTTTAGAAGCAGTAAACCAAATTTTTACAGCTTCTACAGTTAAAACATTAACAAATATGTGAACTTCAAATTGCTGAATTTCAAACCCTTCTTCTGTATAATATAGCAGTAATTTTGTTATATGTTGAACCTTGTACGTATAGTCTGAAGATAAAATTTCTTGAAGAAAATCAGGTAAAGAATTCCAAGAAAAGAGCTAAGAACATGTATATTTTATATTAGTATATTATATTATAAAAAAAATTTGAATTG